GAGGCAGAGGTCAGGTTCGAGCCACGGAACCTTCCGGTAGTAAATTCGCGCTCTAACCACTTGAGCCATCTCGCCCGGAGGGCACGTGGTTCAAACTCAGCCAACTGCTCCCGTTTAGGATTAGGCAAGCTGACAGCATCTCGACCTGATGCTTCCTTTGAGTGACACAGCAGGTGTGCACCGAAGGCCGGATGATTGGTTGTTGTTTTTGATAGCATATGACCTTTCAGGTGCCACCGATCTCCTGGTCTGGATGACCTAGCACTTGCATTTTTCAATGATGAGGATGAAGTTCTACATCAGCATTCGCCTGTTCCATTTTCCTCCATTTTGTTTAAACGAGACCCTCTTAGAGAACCCAGAATAATCAGCAATAGTGCACGTTTTCTAAAAAGGAACCGGTGGTGGATGCGGTAATCACACGGAGATTAGCTTGACCCCAGTCGTAACGAGACTGTTGGCGCACAACTTGTCCTTCGTCGCCTTACAGTGGTACGTGAAGCACTGACTCGAGAGCAGCAAGCGTTGACGGTATCTTCATACTCCGCTATGTGCTAGGACAACGTCATATGTATTTTAAAAAAATCCACAATTTTAGTGATTCTAGATTCTGAGGGCGTATTCGACTCTGTTAACCTGTTTGTTTTCGTTAACACGCTTACTCAGCTGGGAATGTCTCAGAAGTTTTCCAGTGTAAGTTTCTCGGAGTTGCGGGCCTGTGAGTGTAGACAGGGTTTCCAAGATTTTTGTTCACAAAGTGATGTCCGTCAAAGTGCCCACTCAAATGATGGACGGGATAATGGGGTGAATGTTGGAAGGCCTTCAAAACCTTGATGTTCAAGTAGTTCCTCCAATCTTATTTCGGCATTCTCAACTCTCCTGCGATCCTTTGAAACTTGAGAGCCAAGAGGTTTGTCATTTTGGCATATATGTGCACGTTATCTTTGGCGTCAGAAGCGAATACCAATAAGGTTACTGGGCTCAAGGTAGCTCAGTGGTTAAGGCACGAACTTACTTACCGGAAGGTCCGTGGTTCGAACCCACTCTCGGCGTCTCAACTTCTCTCTAGGCTGAGGTAACCTGGAATTATCTCAGCCCTCATGATTCTTTCGGGTGGTGTGGTGGCTATCTACCGAAAGGGTTTTATTAATGTGCGAGTAATAGTGGGCCCTATTCACTAGATGACCGTGAGAATAGTCTCTCCATATGGCCGTGAAACTTGGCTTCTCCAAAGTGAAGACCTCATGGTCTTCAGCTATTTCATCACCAATGCCTGTGTAATAAAGCGGGCTGTTTTCCCAAGGGGCGCTCATCTTTTTGCAATAAACTCTCACTTCTTTTATTTCCATTTTTTCGGAGTCTTCATTTCCTGTTCTTATGTGTCACTTGAGCGCCAGTTTCCAATGCTAGTATATTTCGGTCCATAATCGTGTTGGTCGTGGTGATGGTGAGATGGCTCAGTGGTTAGATCGCGAATTTACTGACCGTGGTTCGAATCCGACTTCCCCTGTCTAGGCTTGAGCAACCTGACAGTACCTCAGCCATCGTGCTTCTTTAGGGTGACATAGCAGTTGGGAACCGAAAGGATACTACAGCTGAACGATTGGTGGTGAAAAGTGTGAACCTTAAGAAAGGCATTCCAAATTTGCGGAATTTGAAGTCTCCGACGATACAAAGTTCAGCAGTGGTGTTGGGCTGTGTGGTTTGTTCGAAGTGGACATTCAGTATAGAGGAAAGTTGTGTGTTATCATTGACATTGGGTGAGGTAGGACAATCCTGAGCTAAGACTTCGGCGAACAACTGTAGAACTAGTGCATTGAGAAGACAAGGTGGTGGGAACGGGGAAGTTGAAGGCGTGTGAGCCCACTGTTGCCCGATAGTTGTGTTTCACTGAGAAAGAGCAGACGAAGTGGAGGATGATGGGATGTGGTGGATGGATTTAATGTTCCCATTAAGACCGTGGACGTTTCAAAATGGAGCCGTCAATTTGTGACGAGAACACTCGGGTTCCGTTAATTTGTGTTAATTCATGTTTGTTGGGCGAGGGATCGGAATTCCAACCCAGAGGCCTGGAGTGACGGGAGTGATGCCCGTAGTTTGGGTTTTGCTACTTTCAAAGACGCGTAAATCGCCCACCACCATTTACTTATCCACTTGCATTATTATTATTATCATTATATTAACCACAAACTAGCGTGACCACTGTTACACTTTTCTCGTTTTCTTGTCAGGTCCCAATGTGGTTCAGTTGAAGGGCCTATGGACAGCTCCTCTGTCGATAGACTGCAGTTCATTTATGTCAGTCAAATCCCACCAACTTATCATGCATGCCATCTGCGTAACTTCTTCTCACAATATGTTGAATCGTCCAGGTTCACTTGCTTCCACTTTCGACACCGTCCACAAATAGTAGAACCCTCAGAGGACTACGAACTGTCAAGTATTACGCTGATAAAACAGTTGAAGGATAAGACGAGGCGGGATAAACGTCAGTTTTGTGCCTTGTTGACATTACCGGATCGGCTGTCCGATGAATTTATTCGCCGTTACGATAAAACGCACTGGCTTAGTACAGATGCGAAGGAGGATGAAACCCCTTTAGAAGTATGTTGTCGACTACAGATAATTCAGTGGGATAATCATGCGACGGAATTTGCAGGTAAGTTATCCAGTTCTCTTGTTCACACCGACAGCAATACAAGCCCTGCTTGAATTCAAGCCGCCCGGATGGATGCCTCGAGGAAACGTGGGTACACCGACGTCTCATTTTTTCAACCTAATTAAAAACTGCCAACTCGACAGTTCGATAATTTCAAAACTGAAGCTGAATTTCTCCCCGGCTGACAGACGACGCCGTTATGGGGCGGTCCCCTACGATTATAGTGAACCTAATCAGATGGGCTTACTGCCATTCCATGATATATTGCCTGCCGAAGTGCGATCTGGCCATGGCACTCGCATAATCGATGATGCAGATTATTCAGATTTTACAGAAACTAGAAAACTCACCTCCGAGGTAAGTTTTACTTTTCGAGTAAAATTGTGTTATAGTCTTTACAATGGTCTCCGCAATGCTAGTGGGAACATTGATCTTCCAACACATCAGGCACCCAGTAGCTGATTGTGACTAGGATTATTTCGATTTTACTGTTCGACACTTACTACCGAGTATCCACGAGTATTTCAGAGCTGTTGATTCCCAAACAGAGCTCCTGTATATGAACTGTCTGCACTCCACAGATTTCACCCCGTCATCCATTTTCCTTACTTGCAAATCAATTTGGTTTTCACGAGAGACTCAGCTGAATCTCTCGTTTATGATATTCTACAACTGAATATGTTGCACACAGGCCGCCTCATGATTCAGTTGGTCAACCTGGCAGTATCCCAGCCCTCGTGCTTCCTTCGGGTAGCATGGCAGCTATGCACCGAAAGGGCGCTGCAGCTGAGAAAAACCTCTTCTCTTTTCTTTCCCTTACTTTTCCCACCAGGAATTTTTAGAACAAATGCTCGTAGTTCTAATAGCCGCTATTAGTGTAATGCATTAGTAGTGGAAACCGATGTTTTGATGCCCATGAAGAGTAAAATCCTGGTAAGAATGGTCTACATTTGGAATGTCAAGTGCCATTTCGATGCCTTTCAGGGTGTTTCTTTTCGTGTTGCTTCTGTTCCACTGTGCTAATTTCAGCACGAATTCTCTCTCGACTGAATTTTTTACAATCCTTTTCAGTATCCTCCAGAATTACCCGAACGACAGGGTTGTAATACAGAATCTTCAGATGAAGAATGTCTGCCCGAACACGAACCAGACGAGCCATGCGAAGAGTGGGAACGTTTCGAAGCGTTGCACGACGACCCGTACAAACTGGAACGACGTGACAAGGCGAACCTCAAGTATGAAGACAAAATCGAGTTGGTTTGGGAAAAGGGTGGTCCGGGCTTGGTATTCCATACGGACGAACGTACATGGCGTAAAATGGACCCACTTCGTAAGGAGGAATTTTTTGACGAACCGGGCTCCTTTGACTGGGATATTGATATGCACACATACGAGGATGAGACGGAGCTTAGTGTGGGGCCAACTCCTACAGGGCACTGGGGTAGTGCTCGTGATACCACAGATTTGATTCATATACAGCGTACTGAAGAATCTATTGATCTGCCACATCCTTCGTTGGATAAGAGTGCCTTGTTCCGCAGGGAAACAAAGGAAAAAGTGAGAATTTTGTTAATAACTGTTGCTACATCGCTTTTATTGTTGTGACCTCATATATGTCGTACACTATCATTTGGTCCAAATGGGAATTTCCCCTTGTGGCTCTGTTCATTTCTCAATTAGCTTTTTAGAGTGTCACTGCGGTATTCTATTCCGCGACTTGCTCTACGTACTTTGCCTCTGTAATCTTCTGTGCGAATACACAAGACGATTGTATTTTTTGGAATCACAACTCCTAGCAAGTCTGTCGTCAACAGTGCTGTCGCACATGTCTACCCAACCTTGGGCTACAGTGGCGTTGGTTTGCAGTCTGAAACAGCGCAATTAAAAATGTCGGTACATTTTTTTCACCTGGTCTTCTCGACGGAAACGCAAGTTTTGGGTGCGGCAGTTCCAGGTGAAACTTTCTCAGGTTGGTAGGGTCAACGGTAGGTACGCACGAATGGGTCTTAAATGCTTTTGGAGTTAACACTAACGGCACAAACTCTGTCATTTATTCATGGTGCCATTTCGGTGCCATCGTTTTATCATTTGAGGCGAGCACGAGAATTAGGCTACTGCCGGGTACCATCAAAGCCTCGAAAAGAGAGGAGTTGAAAAGCCAGGGGTGGGTTCGAATCGTGAATCTTGTGCAATTCAGTGTGAGCGTTAAGTTTGTTTTTTCTATAGGCCCTTTCTTTCTGCATGCACTGTACTAACTGCCTCAGTATAACTCCTGAAAAATTATGTGACGATCAGTTGAATTGCGTGAAAAGTTCTGCATACGTCTACTGGCTATAGTGTTGTTTTCCCTGCAGTGAGATAAGAAGCACTTTTGACGGTGATAATACAATGAAAACTTTCAAGTCTACCGAAATAGCATATTACTATACCGCATATCCGCATATCTTGCTTCAGTTTACAGGATTCCTACAGTGAAGCTGTCTCCTATTTGGTTTGCTAAAGCAGCAAGCATGGGTTGTCTCTCTTGAACGGTAAAAGGTAATTTCTCTGAACAAAGCTGTTTAGCAAGCCATATTCCTTGGGTCCATTCGCCAGCATCAGCGTCATCCTGAGTAGAATCGATCCTCAGTTAGAGTACAGAACAGGCAACGACGTCACCTTAAGTGTAGATTAAGTTGAAACAAGTGCAGGATTCTGGTGTGTTTACTCCTTCCTAATCGGATTCAAAATGCGGAAAACCTTGGCCAGGTGAATGCTTTCTTCCTTAATGGAGATGTTTTTTTAGAACAGATGAAAATAAGACCCACCTGATAGATGCCATAAGAGCGGATGGTGAGGTGGTCCAAGTGGTTAGAGCGCGAAGGTCCGTGGTTCGAACCCGACCTCTGCCTCTCGACTTCCCCTGTCTAGGCTTGGGCAACGTGGCAGTATCCCAGCCCTCGTGCAACCTTCGAGTGTCATGGCAGCTAGGTATCGAAGAGGTGCTACAGCTGAACGGATGTCGAAGAGTTTTCATCAACCTTATAAGTTTTCCAAGGGAGTTTTAAAAACCTCGAAGGGCTCATAGGATGAAAAAGTATGGCTGGATTGATGTCTGCCTACGGCACCGGACCAGTAGAATAACAAACCACTCCCTAGGAAACTTCCTCTTACCAAAAGAGGCACTCCTAATAACTAGTTGATGGTTGGCTTCCTGGTTTTGTCATGTAGCTTTTCCAGGAGGTATCTGATTTGAGTACTGAGCAAATTAGTTTTGAAGTTGTCACAATAATCCAATAAACTCCATCTACAATATATGGTAACACGTATAATAACGTTTCCAAACTTTTTCTGGCCATCTGCTGCCAGCAACCTCCCATGGACGGACGGGTTAGATAAGATCCGCCCTTAAAACCACGCGTTCCGATCGTCCCGCATCTGTCATGACCACTGACTCATCGTGCAGTTGGTCGAATAACTACTAAACCTTGCCAGGAACCTGATGTGGTTCCAACGCATCTGCTGGACGCAAACAACATCAGAAGTCCAGGATATGTCCTACTTACACCGCGTTTGTTCAGCTCCTTACAGCTAGTTGGGCCGTACTTTTGAGTCATTGATGCAGGACAGAGTCTTGGGAAGCCCAAATACCCGAATTGAGGGTAGAAGTATCGGTTTGGGGCTGCAGAGTCACCCATTACCTTTCTTCATTGAGTCAACGTCATGTTGCTCTCTCGACCAGACTCCCTTCATTCTGTCCCGGGTAGTCGGACAGCATCATTCGCCCGTGAAGCTATTTGTTCATCAACTCTCACTAACAACTCTAACTCAAGTGCTATAGGAGCGTCCCTTCCGAATGGCGTAGATCGATGGAACGTCGCTCGTCTCATCACCTCCATAGACTTTCTTAAACCGTACTGAGCTCGTCCAAAAGTTGTTAGGGACAAATGTAGAAAAGTGGTACACTGTTTTAAGGTTCTAGTAGAGCTTTCCGAAATTGCTGAAATGGCACGATCGGTAGCTTTTGGTGATAACAGAAATAATTAACGTGCAAATGACTGGTGGCGCATGCCAACGACGCAAAATACTAGTCTCAGACTGGACTGAGAATGTCGATTGACAGCGAAAGCCCAAGTGATGGAGAATGATTTTGTAGCAGTCAGGTATCACGCATTTTTTCTAATTAATTCGACCACATGAGATCATCGTCAGTTTGCTTACAGAAATACCGTCTTGAGCAATGGCGCAAACACTTCGAGGAGAAAATCCGGCTAGGTCCCCACAACATGTACTATAGTGACACGGAGCGAACCGGAATGGAGTCTGGTCAAATGTTTTATGAGCAAAATATCACTCCTTAAGCATTCTTAGATACCAGACTCGGATGGCTCTCTTCAAAGGTGGGGAAACCTACTATGAACCATATGACATTGAGACGAGGTACCAGTGGAATGGACCCCCTTCCTGTTTATTCAAATGCCCAAAAACGGCGTGAGAAACTTGCGAAAACCACTGTGGTATCCTGCTTACAAACGCGGTATCCAAAGTTCCCTCTTAGTAACACTGAGGAGTTCGGCGTCAGTCAACCCGTTATTCCATGCGTGGGTGTTTTCCTTGCATCTCTCCCTGTCCCTGGCCTTTTTACTTTCTTTACACAGATCTAAATTACAGGGGAAATGAGACACGGTGGTCGGAGACGTATAAAAAAGGACGATAAAAGCGACACAAAAGCACACATGAATTAGCATTTAAGTGGATTGAAATGGACGTTGACTCAACTTTTGAATAGTCAGTGATTGTATGAGCTACGGAAGTCCGAAAGACTTGATTTCCCGGGAAAACGATTGAGAGGAGGAGAATGAAATTGTAGCCAATCGTGAAATGCACTCATTTGGGAACTATTCGGGTTTTAACAGCAGACTTAACCTAATCCCAGCTGAATCTGTCGTCCATGTAAGAAACTGTAACAGCTTGAACCGACTAACCTTGGTATACGGTTTATGGTCAAAAACCGAACTGGATTGAAACAGCACTCTAAACTTCTTTTCTCTTTACAGTGTTCTCTAAATAAGGGCATTTTTACACTACAGTTTTAGCAGTCTAGTTTGTCTTGGCTGAAACCGCCTTGCTGATGTGGTGGAATATTGGTAGCTCGGGTGCATTGATTGGTAATTGATCAGGTGGCTGTTGGTCTATTCGCCGAAATTGGCAATTGACTTGCTGATGATTTCCGATGATTCATTGTCAAGGTTTTGTTTCTGATTAGATCGGCCTCTTAAGTTTTCGCTTTAAAGTGTACGGCAATTTCGTTTCTGTTCTGTCGCTGTTCTGAAACTGAAACTGGTCTGTCTAATTGCGCTTTGTGGTACACGCATTCCCGCAGCTCTTTGGAACGTGTATAGTGAATAATCTTGCGTGTGTCGGTTAAAAGCAATCTTCAACCCAAAGGTGCACAGCAAACGAAAATCTCGTCGTACACGCATTCCCGCAGCTCTTTGGAATGTGTATAGTGAACAATCTTGCGTGTGTCAGTTAAAAGCAATCCTCAACCCAAAGGTGCACAGCAAACGAAAATAGGCAAGTCCAGACAGCTGCTGATTTGTTCTATTATGAGCTGGTTGTTGAGGATATCGTGGGCACTCCTTTGACAATGGGGAAATTTTTACCGTGTTACGTACACAGCTCTTCTCTTTGGAGGAATCGTGTGCCTACAGGAGGATTGATGTGAGCTCTGGAAGTGGAGAATGGTCTTTCCATGTACGGTGAAGCGGCAGGAGATCCACTTGTCGGACTCCTTTGGGAACCGGCTTCTCAACGTGGTTTCTTTTTGAGGTTTTACCCTAGTATGCATTGTGTGTTGGTTAACCTCAACTTCGGACCGGTGATGTATCACCCCACGTCCCATACACCATAGGTAACCTACTATCTCCTAGCTTCCTCTCCCTAGCCATTTTTACATGTTCCCAGTGACTCCACTTGATATGTGCTATCACCTCTAGCTGGTGTCTTCCAACATCTAAATGCCGTCTACTAAGAGACGATTATTTAGGAAAACAAACGAAGTGAGGCCAGCTGCAAATGAAAACAGAACAAATACTGATATTATTAAAGGCACTTGAAACACTGCTGACATCCGAATCGCCTTCCTTCCGGACAAGGCAATTAGCGTCCATCGATGTGAATGTCACCCACGTGATGAACCCGAAACAGGGTAAAACCGACAGTGGGTATATTACAAAGGTCGATTGATTTCGCGGTACTCATGGGAGGAATTAGTTTACCCTCTTGAATGTAGCTTGATCCCTGAGACAGCCTGTGCGCTACGAATTCGGTTGAAGATCATCAAAAAGGATAGATTCCTTTAAGCCAATCCCGCATTTGAATGCACTATTTAAATCCAAGTATCTTTTAGCAGCCTGGGTGTCTAGCGTTCGAGAGGTGCGTGAAATGAGTGTCAGTATCAAGTAAGCTGTGTAGCTATCTCTACTTACGGCTTTATCCTTGCCAGACAAATCAGTGCGATGCGAATACTGTGATGCTAGCCCCGTCTTCTACTTGCTCATCTTGACTGGTTTGTTATTCCGTCGATTGGCTTCCCCAGGTATGGCGTTCAGGATATGCAATAGAATCTTAAAGTACGAGTTGGCTGGCTCGAGTCGCATTGCAATATATACTGATTTCAATTCGAGCGCTATACAGTGTGTACTCAAAGCAGCTAGATCAATAATGATAGTAATGATAGTGATCGTTCGGCTGCCATGTAACTCGAAGGAACTACGAGGATTGAGATTCTTCCCGGTTGCCCAAGCTTAAACAGGGTTGATTTCGAACCACGGACCTTCCGATCAGTGTTTTCGCGTCTTAACCATTGAGCTATCTTGAGTTGTCTCCTGAAAATGGTAACGAATTTATCCGTCAGAAGGATGAAGAGAACAGTTGGACCTTCCAACCATATGGCACTGAACGTAATGGAAGGTCGAACTTAGTTGCTTCTTGTTGAGCAGTAAATGAAATGCACAACGAAGGATAATCGCTCAGCTGTGACACTTTGTCGAAGCTTAGCTGGCTCGAAAGATTGCCCTAGATTATACGGGAGCAGTTGAAAACCCAGGATTGGGTTATAATGAAGTATATTTCGATCGGTGGTTTCACACCTTAGCCGCTAACAGCCAAGCAAACAAAACGAGTTACCATATCCTCCACCTTGAGTTATTGGAAATCAAGAGAAAGTGAAAGTATGATGGGAGGAGAGGTATGGATTTCAGGAACTTATTTGTTCATGGGAAGAAGGAAGGAGCAAACGGTTTGGTACACCAGAAAGGTACAATGGCTCGTCAGGATGACTTCTAGAGAAGTTACTGGAAACGTGTTACAGCTCGGCCGAACGACAGTAGGGAGCTAATGCTTTGGCGATAACAGATTCCTACTTAGATTCTTACTTTAGATGGTTCGAAACTCCAAGCATGTGGGTCGAAGTACCGATTATTTGTTCAGGCTATATCATTGGTGTGTAATTTACAACTTCCTAATGAAAACGAGCCATCCAAAGCACTCTGTATGTTAAATGACACGACCTCTTCCCACCTTATAGTACGATATCTTCTATGAGATAACATAGTCTATATTTTATAGCTTTTGACATTATAACTCAAACCCATGGGCGTTGCGTGTCTGTTTCAAAAACCTAACTCAATGAGCTACTTTCCTAGTTTTTATTTCATCTGTCAGTCTGGTTGTTTTTTCGGCCTAGAATTCTGTCAACACAATGAATTTCAGTTAATATCTTAACCTCTGTTCCTTTCCCATAGGGATTCGGTTTTGGTCTGATGAGAAGAATGGGCTGGAAGCCTGGGATGCGCCTTGGCCGTCATGCTGTTAAGGGACTGCTCGTGCCCGTTGATTCCGATGGTGGTCTACCTCCCAGAGTTCGTACTGGGTTGGGGTACTATGGTCCTCGACTAGAACGGCGCCAACCATCAGAGGACGTGCATACTAATAAACCTGTGTGTAGCTCGAGGACTGTTTACATTCGGTCTGTTTTTGATTCTCCCAGTTACGTCAGAAACCGTTCACAATTGGGTCACACACCGAGCCTTTTGCGTCGTAATGATCCAGTAGATGAAATCAAGTATCGTTCTGACTTCTGTGCTCGCAGCTCTCTTCATTCTTCTTCTGAAGGCAATTCGACTAATTTGTCTGACCGTGCGACCGTAGCCACAACCAAGCAACGTACTGTGATTCTTAGCCCGTATGCAAAGGTATCCAAGGAGGGTATTTCATTTGTGCCTGGTGGACTACTACGATAACAAAAAAACCCTCGACTACGCCATTCATTCAGTATCGTTCATACTTTGTACACAGCTCCCTTCCACCTTGTACAGCTATTGATTTCAATATCACAGATGTTTTCTAACCTCTTGAAAATGATTGATTTCCTGCGCCTTGGACTATGTGCCTGGAGGTAAGAGCTAACAAACCCTTACTTTTCATGCAGCAACAGCAGCATTTACCTGTGTTGCGTACTGCTTCACTCAGGTGCGAATACAGCGTAGTCGCGCCTTCGGTTGCCTATAGATGTGCAGAATTTCCCTCTATCAAGGGCTTTATACCGTCCATGTTTCGATACGTACTGCTGATGATTCCCAGTAAAGATAAAACAGATGTCCGGTGCTCCTCGGTTTCTAAGCACAGACCGATCTCTCTCACAGGTCGAAATTCCAATTAAAGTGTAGATATAACGGAATAACGTGGACATCCACCAAGGGAATTTGAGGAAGCACTCATCGAAGCAAACGAAGTCAGTAAAATTAATAAGAGGCGAGCAAAATCAAAAGTACGATCGGCCCAAATGTTGACGAAACGAACAAGATCGTTAATGCAGTACTCTAGAGGAAATCCATATCGCCATAATCATTTCGAAATATAAGAACAGCACTCCTGATGGACCATCACATTATAATGAACCACTACCAATGATTGGTCCATACCTTAGCTCTTGGCATCTATCCCCCCCCTCTCTGCAATAGTCCCGATTGTGACCTCCCAGCTTCATGCCAAAGCAACCGAGAAATAACTATTTTCGTCAATTCATTACTGTATTCTTGCGTAGCAAGTTTATACAAAATGATTGGTCATACCTTAGCTCTTGGCATCTATCCCCCCCTCTCTCTTTGCAATAGTCCCGATTGTGACCTCCCAGCTTCATGCCAAAGCAACCGAGAAATAACTATTTTCGTCAATTCATTACTGTATTCTTGCGTAGCAAGTTTATACAAAGGTAATGTTTGTTAGTTGGGACCGAAACCCCATCGGGCCTATTTATTCTCACGACGGTTGTTTTGCATGTAACAGCAACTCAGGAACACTGGTGGGAGGTCGAAGGATGTGGATGGATCTGTAGTTGCTCCAGGCCAATAATTCCCTCGATCTGGTCGCCCAACTACGTCGATCTCCACATAAGTAATCGTCTTGCTTTTCGATTCATCATGAAAGACTGTCGGTTGTTTGTCACCGTTTTCTGTCCATGATTCTTTCAAAACTGGCATCTTGCTTAAGTTTGTCGCTGTGCCGTTTGTGCTGGAAGTCTCATGGTGTTGCAATTTGAACAATGCTCTGGAATTCATCCTAGATTGCTTTTGTATACCTGCCGTCGTAAACCGCGGTTTGGGTTCAACACAGGTTGGTCTTCTTGAGTTGTCGGCTATGTGGTTCTGGAAGTAAGGAAAACGTTATTGGTCACCCAGACTGCACTTGCAGACACGCTGGTTTCTCATTTATTCGACTGGCGATGTCTGATTTCGACTCTTTCGGGAAGCACCAGAGGCTTGTGAGTTAGTCAACATCTGATCACAATGTCATTGTAGAAAAAAGCATCAAAACAATTTGATTTAAGGTGATTATTCTTAAATTCGAGCCAGGTCACCTATGTTTAGGAATTCGTTCCATGATGTTACCTAAATTTACCGGATGAATGATTTGAGATTCAATTCCCCTAGGGACGCCCTCATTGAGCCGTAAGTTTTAGGATTTTGTGTTCATTGTTTACTGTCGAATAGTTAGTCATTTGAAGCCTTTGTGGATTCGGTTTTCTATCCATTTTCATCAGATCTTTGCTGGTTGCCTTTCCTGTTACTTAGTTGGTAGTGAACAAGAGTGTAAGGGAAGCAATATTTTGCCATCTGCCCTATATTAGGTACTTATGTGTGTTGTATCTTGACAGCAACAGCTGAAAACACTAATGCTTCGCTGTCGTACAACCATGTCAGTTTATTTAAACAAAGCCTTATAATGAAAAAAAGAAAAAGGGGACAGGTTGGGGGACCTACGGCTAGGCTACCTACAACTCCAACATTTAGTCCGACAATTGCGTGCCATCAAAACAACCTAACTCGGGACCAAAGGGAAAATACAATTGGAGAACCTACTTCTCTGGATGCTTGTGCTGCCCTTGGGTATTTAGTGACTTCATTTCTGTGCAGTTCATGTTCTCCAGACTCGTCTTTTGTACACGTGTTTCTTTGGGCTGACTGCGAGGAATCAACAGTTTCTCCGGTTTGACTGCTTGTGTCAAATACAGGACTAGATGCGTCAGAACTCTCTTCTTCGTTTGTGTACGACAGGGACTCGCTGCTTCCACTGGATGTTACTGTGATTGAAATAGATATTTCCACCGAGGACTCCATACTAACGGATCCGGTGCTGGCGGTTCTCCGTCGTGCCTGTGTTTCAGTCGAACTGTGGCTCTGTTTGTTTGCAGAAATGATCTCACCTTCGTTGTTCTCAGACGCCTTTTCTACATCTCCAGAGGGACTGATGTAATTTTTCTTCGGAGTGGCGCAAATCTTTTCACGTGGTATCTTCGCACAATCCGATTCGATTCGTTCCACCACGCTTTGTTTTGTAGTTGTCGTAGCTCCTGTCACACTTCCGTCAATATCCAGATAAATTGATGGGGAAGGCTGCAGCACAGTGACTTCTACATGACTGGTCAGCGGTTTTGTTTGAAGTTGATCCCACCATGCCTGTTCCATGTGTGTATTGGATGGAAATTGTGCGATGGGGAAGGTTGCAGCACAGTGACTTCTACGTGACTGGTCAGCGGTTTTGCTTGAAATTGATCCCACCAAGCCAGTTCCATGTGTGTATTGGATGGAAATTGTGACTGTTCCCTCCCGTGTTCCTGCAATCGCCGGTTCTTTCGTGCTTCTCGCTTGAGTGAATAGCTTTTTCGAGTGACTGGACGCCTAAAAATATCACAGAACTGGTGATCCATGGTATTCATTTCAGCGCAACTCTGCGATCGATTGGTTAGGTAGGGTCGACCGCTATCAAGTGGCAGATTTCTTCGATTGCCAACTTTGCTTACAATGAAAGAATGTTCTCCCTTGTAGGCGAGTGGGATACATGTCTGTCGTTGTCGAATAAATGTTGATTTGTACGATAGAACTTCATTTGATCCTATCATTCCGCTTGGAAAAGTGTAACCTCCAACGTTCAGTTTTGCACTCAATTTGATCGGAGATAAAATAGGTACACTATGTTCGACTTCATCTAGGACCACGTTTTTCCAGCTCACTTTGTATCGATGCTCTCTTATTGACCAAATAGCTTGTGATGTCGGGGCAAGTACACTTCGCTGTTCCTTGATGGCAGCGGCTCTGCAACGGGATTGATATCTGCTCTGTTTAGCTCTGAACACTGCCTTTACCATCTTCCCCAGATATCTTAGCGGTCGAATCACATGCTTTCTAGTTCCAGTTTGGTTTATGCTAGAACTCTGCCGTGTGACTGTTCGTCTGACATCCGACAAGAAGCGTAGTGAATGGTTTCTTCTTACAGTTTGAGGTATGCGAAAATGGAGGAAACTTATCGCTGCACGATAGTTGACACATTCTACATTAGAAAACAGTTCTTCACTCCGTAATTGCATATTTCCTGCCCAGTGAGGAACAATCAAAGTGGCCATAGTTGAGTGGCAATCGTGCGATTTCTCTACCTCAAGAATTTTTGCTATCTGTTCAATCACACCTGTCAAGGGAAGAATAATATACTCGGGGTCCCACCATTTACCAGCGTAGTTCATTGTGAAACCGACAAACAAACCATGGCGCTTCTCGCTTTCTGGCGCGATTATATACTGTGGGGCTACAAGGTACCCAGAAATGAGTCGCATGACAGCGACTCCCTCATAAACTTGTGTAGCACAATGTGAGTTTTCGTCACACAGCTTCCACCGCAGTAACACCTCATTGCCGTGGTTTATCCGTTCCAGATGACTGAATAAGAGAACATCTTGAATTAAGTTGCTATTCACGTCCAGTTCACCGCATGCATGCTTATCAACTCGTTGCATTTGTGGACTTGCCCCAGTACGATGTGATATGGCCATCAGGGGTGCGACCATACGGTAGGGTCTCAAGATTATATCCGATGTCGATAGATGGAGAAGTTTAATTAACTGATTCAACTCGTTTGGATTAGGTTTGTCTCCTTCTAAGTGGATACGAGTGGGATACTCTTGATGGAGTCGGTAGTCTTTCATCCACGAGACATCGCTGGGTTTCCTTTGACAATCTTCTGACATTGCGACGACGCTGTATTCTGTGTTACTATTACTGCGTGAGTCTATGGGGCTTTTTCTCGATGGATCACTGCTCGTACTGTTCACCTTTTGTGCACCTCGGGTCTTCAAGGCCAGTGATTTTTTCGGCGACATCGCCACTGGCAGTAATGAGAATAATGAAAATAAATAGAGTTTGAGGCAAGTTGACCTGATGAATCAACAGTTTGTTGAGAGTGATGTTTGTCAGTCTGCTGAAATGGAAACAGGAGCCTAGTTTGTGCCCTATTTTTGGATAACCTTAGTCATCCCGCTCATCCGGGGATACACACCTTAGCTAGTGAGTCTAACAACAGCCACATATTAGTTATGAATTGCGGAATTTTTTGGCAGCTTTAAATCATTCTTCACACTTCTCTATCGAGACTCAGGTGCTACGTTCAGCCAAATCTGATCCAAATCACACATGGGTGTCTTTCTGTCACCACCACTTGTCTAAATTGTTGAACCAGTCACGTAATTCACTTCGTCTTCCCACCTTTCAAAACCATATTCAACTCTCAGGACGGTGAAACGGAAGCTGGATTGGTCCCATTTTAGCGGTTTTAAGAATGCAGCTTACTCATTTCGACAATCAGATTAGGCTTCCTCGTATAGGTTGCTTCTCGTTTTGTACTCGTAGCTCACTTCTTATTACCCTAGGACCTCACCCACTGGTTCGAGATTCTATCAAGCCTTTTTCGTTTGTAACCGGTAGACTGAGTTTTCGGTGGTTCTGAAGCTAACATGCAAGTTCCTGTAGTTTGCTTGACCCATGGGTTGCTTCTGTGTAGGCGTCAGCAACCTAGCAGCGTTTCAGCCCCCGAGTTCCATTCAGTTAACACAATAGATATGTATCGAAGGGTGCCACGGCTAACATCCTTTTTATTCACTGGTTTATGAGCAGTGATCAAAATCCATAGACATTTTCGCACCAACCCCACCCATCCTGGGACCCGTTAGGTGTTTTTCGCCTTAGGATATCGAAGTAACCACTCAATCGGCCGTTGCATAGAGAAAGTTTTCTTGCCCATTTAATCCAGCATGTCGTGCAAACTCCGCAGTATTTGTGCACGTTGAAGATGACAAACTCATGAACCGACTCAAGATTCCGGTGCGAACATTTCTATTTTTTGAACGACCTTGTTAGTATCATGAGACCTCATTGAGATCGGAGGCAGTCCATACGTGACTTATTCTGTTCAAAGACTACAACGTGCATAGGAAAATGGGAGTCCGCATGTCACAATAGATTAACCATCTAAGTAGGCTTCTCTTTATCTGACAATGGTGGACCTAGTAATGGAGTGTGCAAAAGCATGCATGTGTTTGCGTAAATTTTCAACTACGTATTTCCCGCCCATTTTACTTTGTGTACCCTGTTTGAATTGACCTTTCAAACTATCTTCGTCAAGCCTCCTAGGAGTGGTCCGTCGTTCCTCTAACCTAACATTTTATCTGCATCTAAGTCTTCCTTTGAATCCGCAACTCAGTCAAACAGCAAAGCTATATCCTATTGACGTGCTCATGCTGGACTACCATATATATTCTGTCCCATTGGACTTGTTTCATCCGGGTCGTGGTGATAAAACTGTAACTCTGAATTGCCCGTGACTCACGCATCCATGGGCTGTAGAATGACGACTGTGTCGGTGTGGGATGTAATCTCAGTCGTGAATATTGCCACATCACGTGTTCTCATTTTATTACGCAACTAATCAGTGCCGCTTGTGTACATTTGAGCTGAAAGTAACAAAAACAACACAGACGGCGAACAAGCATCGCTCTAACCTGAACCACGCACTTCATTCATTTCAACATCCGTGCTTTCCTAACCCAGAGGTAAACCTTAAACTGTTTTCCGCCACTAATTCCTTCAGTCACGTTTTGGGTAGGCTGATACACTTCCAAAGCGATTGAGAAATGTGTGGCGACACAGGGGAACGCATGCCTCCCTTTGTCACAGTTGAATCCGATGGTATATCCCTTTTTGACATGGGTTCGATTTTTTCCTATTAAACTCCCATCTCAGCTATTGCCCAGAACATGGATGCAATTATATTGACAATACGGCTGGTTGGAAAAGCATGGCTACATTAACTGAACACTTAGACAAATGGTGAGTTTCAGGACAGAGTGAGAGAGATAAGGGGGGAGGAAGAGAGAAATAAGCACTTAACAGAGATAGTGAATAGTACACACTGAAATTCTTGTAGCGAGAAGGGAGAACTAATGGCTATCCAATCCTTACCACATCGTCCGGAGTGCTTTTTTCAGGAGCAATACAGAGGAAACCAAAACGTGTTCGTTTTGTCTCCATCTGGTCGTGAGACTTACGCGCCGCTTTTGTTGCATTTCTCGTTGGTTCTACAAATTCTTGGTTGATATCACTAGAGCGTGTTCTTGACATGCAGAAATTTAATCTCATTTGTCTTCCAGTGTTCCCTGATTTTGGGCCGCCGTATTTACCTTTGATCACAGTGGCAGCCAGCGAATTCAAACCACTTTGGTTTGGTGTAGCCAGTCCGAATTTGGACCTTGTTGTTATTGTTGTTGCTGTGTTTTTCCCGTAATTACGTTGGCACATGTCTTCAAACTCAGATATGGTAAGTTCTCCCGAGCGAAATGCTGGTCTCTTGCGCAAGGAAAATCCCCTCGTATATACGGACCTGGTAAATGGCTTTGGTATGAGCTTGTTCTTGATGGCTGTCGCTGTTTCAAGCATACCGCCATCCTTTGTAATGCATGTAACCATTCTTGTTCTTGGAACTTGTGACCCAGCGATTACTGTTCCTGTGCTCCTGCTCGCCTTTGAAACCAATCCGGGTGACTCAACTTGCAACAGGTTCGCAGAGTTCCTCTTTGTTTCCTGTCTTGTATCTCCGACTTCTGTGTATGTACTTGATACTGGCCGGCTAACAACTCTTTCGAACTTGGTGGCATTTTGGCCAGCTCTGTTGTATGGACGCCGCTGTGGACTTATTATCCCTTTATGGGTTTCAGCATTCGGTTCCCCCTTGTCAACACGGAAGTGCGAGACTGTGCCTTGGTAGACAACTTCGTTTCTTTTTATCAGCTGTACATTACTGGACGACCTTATGGTCGTGTCAGACGATGTTTGATCGGTTTTTACGGATTTTCTCGGTTTTGACTCGAGTTTGATCCTGCTTGACTCCCTTAGAAAGGACGGATCGGGCACCGACTGAGTTCGGAAAAGCCTTTCGTATCGAGGCTCGTCGACTACTTCGTTCACCTTAAACGAGCGTTCATTTCCCACGCTACTGGCGCGCATTCTACAGGTTGTTGTATTCACTGGGACCAGTATTGATTTCAGCTTCGAAGTGAAATGGTTTTTCTCGATGTGGTAATGAATACAACGTTCGCGAGAGCTACGGGGAGTAGGAATTGGTTGTAAGAGTACACTATCAGTGCCCGGCTGTCTATCTAAAATGTGTTTTCCGGCCTCTTGGTCATGGTGTGTCGAGATTAGCTCATACTTTACTCTACGCGTTTTATCGTAGGTCGCTGTGGTTTTGCATGGCTCGTAGAGCTCTTTGGAGCATTCCAACCTGTTTGGAACCGTCGCGCATCCAAGGTAGTCCATCTCACTGTTTGTCTGGTCATTAGGTTCTTTATAACGAGATTCGTCTTCAGAAACGATATCTTCGTCTGACATAACCTCAACGATAACGGTGTCTGCCACACGAGATGATTTTTTCCGGCATTTGCGTCTTTGTGGTATGGGTTCTGGCAAACTCCAACTGAAAGAACTATCCAAAGAATCTACCTCGCTAACTGGAATAGACAGAGATGATAGGCTGGTGATGAGGCACTCAGCCATACCGCTGAACTTTTCGCGATCATCGGAATTGGCATCTTCTCCAAAATCAATTGCACGTTGCATACAACCCACCGGAATCCAGGGATCGAGATTCTTCTGGGTCCTGATATCTCCAACCGATGCAGGCCGTCCTGTCTGTAGAGCATTCCGTAGTTTGGCAAATTTTATGTTATCCGTTTGCCGTCGAATTTTTTCAGGTTGAACAGAGGCTAAGACGGACTGTGTATCTGCTCGAGGGTTGATGCGCAGGCGGACAACCAAACTGGGTGTTTCTGCTCCTGCCGATATGGGATCCTGGTGCAGAGTGATTTTAACCCGCCGACGAAACTTCCGGCGACTGATGTCCTTTTTCGTTGGGGACTCTTTGTTTAGTGATTTAATAGCGGGTTGATCAATATTTTGACAGTCATCAGTGTCTTCGTGCACTGACAGGTTGACAACCCGTGGACTTATAATGCCCTCTGAGATTACATGGTCCTTCGAAAACATTTCTTTGGCATACGTGTCCATGACTGGGTTGAGACACTGATGAGTAGCTTCCTCTGGTTGTGTGAGGGGTTGAACTTCAGTTTCTACTATTGGCGAAGAAATATCAGGGTTAACCTTGTCTAGAGCATCTTCGTCAAGTAATCCTGACTTTAACTGGTCCCACCATGCTGTCTGAGATGGCTCAACCTGATACCTGATGTTGGATGTTATACGAGTCGCGATAGGGCTGCGGATAGTGCAAAGACTCCTGAGAGCATAAACCATGAATCCAGTGTGTTCGGTCGCGTGCTGACTGCGGTCAAACTCATGTGATCTATCGTTACAACTCGTTAGTGGTGATGGTGTTCTTGATATCGGCCAGTTAAGCAATCGCGAAGTTTGTCGTGTGCCACAGAATTCGACCGTATCCACTCGTTCTAACAAACCGACTAATTTGCCATCTCCAACTGAATATCCTGCAATTGGATGGTGGTTTGTCCGGAGTCGTGACCTGGCGTGACCGAGTTTTCCATGGATAGTGGATTTTTCGATGCTTCGAAGCTGATCTGAGTTGTTTTCATGCTTTGCTGCAGTAGTGGCAAAGGACTTGGGGATGGAATAGGGTTGATAACTATCTGACTCATATATTCGAGAATCCGAGTCCCACTTTGCATTGTATTGAAGCATATCGGCGTGTGTCAGAGGGGAACCGGAGTAAACGGTTTCGTTTTCAGTTATGTCCTGATATGGAGATGGGGGCCTGGCATCACAGTCTTCGGGCAAGTTCTGGCTCATGTTTCTGTCGACAACTTGATAACTTTTGAACATGGACGAATTGCTTTCATCTTCGGAGCAGAACAGGATTGCCGTTGAAGGCGAACGTTGATACAATCTAGTCTGGTCGCTAGGAGTTTGATTGAGGTTGCCTGTTCCCACCGTTGTTGTTTGCGACAGGCGTGAGCCACACTTCCGCATGGGTTCACGAATTGCGTTGGTGCGGACGAGTCGTCTGTTATGACTCTCCATCGGCTGCTTCTGATGCTCTGGTGACCGTCTCTTTCGTCTTGACACAATAACGGGGTGGTAGAAATCGTCCAATTCAGGTGAACAAACAAATCGTAGGGCTAATTCATTACCAGAAGAAAGTTCCTCGTCGGACTGTGTAGAATAGGCATTGTTGTTGAGTTGAGCGTAGACGGGCAATTCGCAAAAAATTCCCGATTGTGCGTGGTTTTGGTGCAACCGAAAATGGATTTTTTGGTGATCTTTCCTAAGCACGTCTTTCCCAATCCGATGAAATGTTTCAACAGCTTGTGTTCCTCTGCTAGTTAGTTTGTGTGTTCCGCTAGTGTGCCAAACTAGTACACACTGATTGAACGAAGTTAAGCAAAAAAAAGTGATCCGATTTATCAGTGATCTCCAACATCCATATTGTTCCTCAAGAACCCACTCAAGGAACGTCGTATTTACTTTGGTAAGTTTTATTTTAATCTGCTTTGGGTATTTCGAGACCGCACCTGATTTTTGTGTTGCATTCACTTTTCCGCTGAGCTTTTTTACATGCACCTCATGTGGTGGTTGGGGCCAGTTGGTTAAGATGCACTGCGGAATTGGAATGATACTAGAAGCGCACATCGAGGTCAAGATTCCAAACAGACCGAGAAACGCAATGATAACTTGTCTTCGGTGTAAATCCAAAGAAGCTTTGAAACTGACGCCCGAAATTAAGGCATTGTGCCACACTCAGCGAGATCTCATCCTCACTGGCCTTGATCTTATTTGAACAGGATATCCATCGATCGTTTGATCACAATCGATAATCAAGGACTTTACCGGATGGCTAGTGTGTTCGCAATGCTCATTGTCACCTGACTGGATTCCATTAATTTGGTCGTCTTTTTTTGGAAAATTGGTTTCCTCTCTTTTATGGACATGTTACCAGAATCAAGAACAGATGCGAACTACAGTTACAATAACGAACTACTTATAAACGTTTCATTCAATCCGCTAACGAAATCAGAGGATGGAGTACTGCAGAATCATTTGGAAAACCGAATTACTTCAGCGTTATCCGATTCGGGGGTTTCAAAACCGTCCACTCCAGAATTCCGTACGGGATTAAGCACAGTAACCGAGGTTTTGCCGCAGGACCATCAACAGACCGAGAACAGATGGGACTACAGTTACAATAACGAACTACTTATAAACGTTTCATTCAATCCGCTAACGAAATCAGAGGATGGAGTACTGCAGAATCATTTGGAAAACCGAATTACTTCAGCGTTATCCGATTCGGGGGTTTCAAAACCGTCCACTCCAGAATTCCGTACGGGATTAAGCACAGTAACCGAGGTTTTGCCGCAGGACCATCAACAGACCGTGAACTCTCTTCAAGGGTTCGTTCAACCGGAGAGCTACACGATTTCTATATCAAACCTAACTGCCATGGTTTATGGCCCAGATGAATCCTGTTTGAACCCAGTGACGGATATTTATAGTAGAAAGTACACGTCAGTTGAGGAACGAATGGGACAAGATGGTTTTATGTCAATTAGCTTCACTCTGACTTTCAATCATAAGCAGGATCCGATAACAACAGACGTTGAGTACGAGAATGTTGTCACTTATTCACGACTGACACATCTGACGGAGGTGGTTCGCCGTTGCTTCGACGAGTCTGATATACAACCTGGAGCACGAGAAGTCCTTTCTACACTTGACTCCTGTCTTACTCTCCAGGGTGATGATGATGATCCTGGTACTTGGTGCAATCCGCCTCGAAGCCATAACCGGGCTGTTTCATCTAGTGGTGATACATCACATGGTATAGGAACTATGATCTCGAGTCGAATTACTGTACCCTCGTGGACGGAAAACTTGTTGCAAATCCGGGAACCTAACTCAAGGTCTGTATTAGTTTCTAGCGAACTTCGTTATAGTTCACACTGGTTCCGAACAACAGACTACCAACCAGAGACAAAGCAACTCGATTTCAGCCAATTGAAGTTGTCCATAAAGCCCATCACGATAAAGGAACGCATTTCTATGGAACAAATATATCCTTGCCTGAAACATCACCGTATTTTACATCCCTGTATGTCCTTGATTACTGGAGATAGAACCACCTCAGTCAGTTTGTCACCAGGTTTCAAGCAGATGAAGGTTCTGCTTAGATTCGTCCTCCAAGGTACTGTCTATTCTGCTCTGTTCAGTTCGAGCGATCCGGTCATTGTGACTGACGATTCATTTCACATAAACTCACTTGCAAATCCTTCAGCTACGTGTTTTCCTTTCCCAAGTTCGTCAACCCCAAGGCTAATTCTGCCTACATGTCTCCCACAAAGAGCCCCTAATAAACCATTGAATAGGCAAACATTACAATCGCTTGTGTCTGATGTCCATGAATTTCGACTAACGACAAATTTCTTCAGTAAACTGGGAAAACGATATTATCACAGTGAATGTTCGTGCATTCAACCATACAATAATAATGAAAAAGGTACGAAGACACCATTTTTGTTTGATTTTGATGATATCAAGACTCCGCAACAAAGACAAATGTCTAATCAAGATATCCCTGCCTTTGAAACTTTTGGACCTTCAGATGATGAGTCGCCCGTTCACTTCTTTGTTGAGCTGCACAACAAATCAAACGAGGAGGCCGGAAGTCAGAGACAAATGTTTTTGGGCCGTCGATCAGATCGAAGTGAAAGACGAAGCCGTCCAAGTTCCACGGAGCTACCCCTACCAAAGCGGATTATTGGTAGTATAAGGCGAAGTCCCCGCATAGAAACTCTACTCGATGTTAACGGTTCTGTGGCTTCTGGCCGCATATCATCTTCACTGAGTAAACGAGAGCAACCCTCGACTTTAACCTCGTATACGGAGCCCACTCCTGGAGAAGGACTCATTCGTGAGCATCGGGAATCGGTATCGGTGCTCAATGAAGCTCAAGGTCCTGCGAATCAGGGGCACCTTCCTTCCGTCGGGCCGGTAAACGTACTTAACCTTCCCGAATCTGGATATCCACTGAGCTCACATTTTTCAAAGCAGGATGTGACTGATGATGATCCTGTTGGTACAAGCGTTCGTGAAGGGCGACATACCATCCCCGGAGGAGCAGTTGATCAACACAAACAAAGTGAAACTCGCCGTTCACCGTCGCTTGGAAGACGCACAACTTTCAGAAAGCGTTTATCCAGTTTCCGGCGATCTGTTAACTTACGGGAAATGATGGAAAGTTGCTGGAAAGCCGATGTGAATGATAATCCGGTTGGAATATCCGATAGTGCGCAAAAGTCGATTTCTTTGAGTGAGTCTAACCTGGTCTCTTTACATGGGACAGATGTTTTTCTTGAAGAACCCCCTAAATGGTTGGCTCCCATCGACGGAAAACAAAAAGAATCCAGCGCAGGTTCTGCCGAACATAGTTCAGTGGTTCCTGTCTCGATTTTGAACGAGTTAGGGAGTGATGCCCGTTTGAATGATAATCCGGATGAAACTCCACTTGAGTTACTAAATGTCCATCCCACAATTCTGTCCAACCTTCCAAATCCCGCTTCCAGTAAGGATAGTTCAAAACCTGCCGTAGATCCACATCTCACTTCTGGGGATCAAATTTCCGACGAGGAATCGAAACAACATGCCTCGATACTAGCAAGTCCAGAAGATCCAAACAACCCGGTGCCTGGGGCGTTCGATTATGCACATACAAGCGACACTACTGGTGACGATTGTGATAATCCCACGGACACATCTTACGCAGACACAAATCGCGTATGCTTTGTTTCTGAGGGTCAGGCCAGTCTGAGTAATCAGTTGGAAATTAATCGGATAAGTATCCGAACAGGCCCTCTGTCTGTTCAGTATGTTCCGAATCGACCTGGTAATTGGAGCTCTCTTGAGTCAAACATTGATAATGGTACGCATACCGACTCCACTGGTCCCGTAGCTCATATTTCGAGACCACAGCAATCACAAGAAAGGGCGATACCTCGACGGGTTTCTCCACTGTCAGAGCTGTTGCTTAGTGGTACTCACAGTGTTGATAGTCTATCGGCGTATGACATGCAGAGAGCATATGCACAGCTCAGTGTGTGTATGTTGCCGGAGCAAGATACCGTCCGTTATGACAAAGGTGAAAAGGTCGTTGTCAGTGGGCCGCCTTCAAACTATGTCTGTGAATTTGTTCAAAAAATACACAAGCAGAAAGCACAAATGTACAATGTCAAAGAGGTTCCTGTACTATCCAAGCCAAGTAGGCCGGATGTAATCCGTGGACCTGGTGAAAGTCCACAACTAGTGGCGACGGAGCAATCTTTCGACCAAAATCTGCTCTGCCAGCGGCAGCTGGTTGAAGGGAATCCAGTTCCTTTCGCGGTTACCACAGGCACAAACCGATTATCTTTCTCTGAAGACGGTTGTAAATCCCTGTTAGGAAAACCAAGAACCAGAGACCCTCACACAGATTCTTCCGTAATTGACCCGGTGGCGGGACCTAACTATGAACGCAGTTCCAAAAGAAGCCATATGACGTTTTATCAGATACCCAGTATAGAAATGGAGCCAAGTATTTCAGTGAGAGGAAGCCCGAGACTTCCACTTGCTGGTCAGCATACAACCGTGTCTTCTCGGTGTACTCTAGCAACAGGTATCAGTGACTCAGCGTCGGACAGACTGAATGGTGAAGAAGTCCATGATATTCAATCACATGAAACACCACGGATTCAGAATATCTCCAGTCGGAAGCACCAACATTGTCCTAATAGACGTAAGAGCGGAAATGATGACAGTCACTCAGAAACCTGTTTGTGTGAATTTTTGACTCCAATTTTTCCTGCGATCCCTGATAATTCCAGGAAGAACGGATTGACTAACCTCATCCAAGTTGAAGAGCTAGAAGCATTACAAAGGAATGTAACAGCTCCAAAGGCAGTCGAGGTGAGTCCTCAGCGTACTATTATTATTATAGAGGATGATGGACTGACGGATCGTGAATTTACTGTGGAATCTCTACCGCAACCAAAAACTTTGGAAGCATCTCGTGAGGATTACACTGATGACCATCTACTTAACAAACCGGATTCTGGCTCCGATCGATTGAAAACTGATGAGAACCATACTTATCAGACTCCTCAGGTTTACGTAGGCAAAGGCTCTGACACCCAGGACGATGGCCTCTCTGGGTCACCTCGAAGTCCTAGTAGTGACTACCGTAGTGTTCATTCCAGTGGTAAGGATTTCAAAAGTATTGACAGACCTGTGACAGAGCAGCTCAACTCTCCGCTAGTACCCACCATAAGTGAACAGTCAAGCCAGAGGAAACCAAGCACGATTGCCCATTTGGAAGTGAGCCAGTGGTCCGCAGTTCATGACACAACGAAGCGCTCAGCCAAATCTAACGAGGAGACTGGCCAAGTTCAAGTTGGCGATATTTCATCGATTGTCACACATAAAAGTTCTGACCCAGAAACCCTAGTCGATGTTGCTACAAATTTTTTCACTACAAAATCGGTCAAATTGGAGGCCGAGAAGTCGGAGAAGGTTGGAAGTCAGCTGAATGGTTTTCACTGTCTTTGTCAGCCCCGCTGCCTATGCACTGAACGGTTACAAATAACTCCGGTGTCTCCGAAACCGTCAGAATACCCATCCAGAATACATAATCGAACACACTCCGATTATCGTACGACTTCTTTGAACACAGAAATGCACTCTGAGGTACGCCACTTGAAGAGTGAACCGGTGGTGCTTGATGGCGCTGGCTTATCTACAAACGAAAAAAATCGGGACAATTATGTGCCCACCAAAGTCGAGTCTCCCAACAATCTGTCTGAAATGCAAATAACGGCATCACTGCCGGCATCCCAACTACTGCCTGAACTGGTGTGTAAAGGTTACCATTATCCTAAAGCAGACGCATGCCGTGCTGTGTCAACTGCCCTACCTAAAAATATAAAACAAGACAACCCCCAAACAAAATGCAGTATCTCGGAACCAAAAACATGTTCTTCGGCTGACACTAGTCGTCTACTATCGAGGAGCTCACCAACTTTGACCACCTCCACAGGCAGCACCTACTATACGGCCCCGCCACCTATACAGAGAAATGTGACCGAAAGGACGTTAGTCAGTGGACCCTTAGGTGAAGTTTTATCCCCTACTTTGAGTAGCACTCCTAGTACGTCATCTAGGTGGAAATTGGGATTACCAAAGACAGATTTAAAAATTGGAGCTAATTCTTGGGAAGTTGCTGACAGTGGTCCGGTGATCAGTTCATCCCGTGAGGTATTGTATAGTTTTCAGCCCCTGTTCTCCTGGGACCCATATCCAAACGACAGGGCTGTAGTCACCTACCCACCTGTCTGTTCAGATCCGACGCGGGCAACTTCCCTTGAGACTGATCGTTGTGAACCGATATCGGCTAGCCCTACACCCAAAGTCACTAACACACTGCCAGCTCCTAAGTGTACGTGCCGAAAAAGTCGATCCTTGTCCCCTGGGCCGCATGTGATCCACAGCAGTACGGTTATAGCTTTGAACCATCTGCATTGTCTTCACAATGGCTGTGTTCCCTTTCGTTCTTCGTCCTCACAACGGTGTCCAGTTGAACAACACACATTGGATAACCCAGGTGGCAATGTGTGTATTCATACTTCAATTGGACTAAATAAGGCTCCTGGAACATGTCAGTATCCAGTGTGTTGTCCAAAATTTGGTGTGTACCAGCCTGTGCCTTGCGAACACTGCCGAATGCGGAAGACAGCAAGCTCAGGACCCGGCATGAATGGTTCACATGGCTGTGACACAGCGAATACAGCACCGAATCGTACCCACAATATCGTTGCCTTGCCCGAAAGGCACAAACAGGCCAATCCAGTTTTCAGTACCAACTTCACTGTTCCACAGACGTCTGAAAGTCCCTCATCCAAGTATGGATTTGTGGATTGCAAAGTTGACAGTGGACACTCCGTAAAAGTAGCTGTTTTCTCGAACAACCGGTTGTACGGTGAAATGAATCGATCCGAATTAGACTCACAAAATGCCGTTCGTAACGACAGACTGGGTAGCCCGGATTGTACGGTGAAATGAATCGATCCGAATTAGACTCACAAAATGCCGTTCGTAACGACAGACTGGGTAGCCCGGAGACCTTGGGGTACCTCTCAAAGCGAGAGGCAGCTGAGTGTACAAGTATCCAGAAACCGCCAAATCAAGATCCGATTCAAGTAAACCCCAACTCGAAAACACTCACCTGTCAGGAAAAGTCTCGAGTATTATCTCCTCCAGCCGCGCCGTCAATGGGTAGCGAACAGCATGTTAGCACCCATCCAAGTGTGATTTACTCAGCCCAGGAACATGATACGGTTTCACACCGTTCAAACTACGCTGAAATGCAGCTTTCACGTGACTCTTTCCCATCTGACCAACAGACGTTGGTGCCACTGACTGGAGGTACGCTAGCGCATTTCTCGAATAACTATTATGCGTCCGAACGCATGAAGACAGTGTACAGATGGATGAATTCGCATAAGAAGGAAAATTCATGTGAAAAATCTGATTTTCCCAACTGCGATACTCCAAGTGCAACTGAGGATTCCAGTGAGATTCGGCGACCAGATCATTCAGAACCGAGCAATGTGACATGTGTCAATGAGTTACCCCGTGGCGAATGTACAAATAAGTATAACGCGGACTTACCAATGATTACAAGTCCAGTAGTCATTGAACCCCATGTCAACTCTCAACAAGCTGTTGCAGATCAACGGATCATTTCTGCCAATCGGTCGTCAGTTTCCACAGTTAGTGTGGTTGATGAATCAGTAAAAAAGGTACAAGCTGAAGAAAGTACTAACCTCAAACAGATTACCGATCAAGCCAATCAGATTGACCTCCCTCAGTACGTGAGCCACATACAGCGGGATGATTTTCGAACGGTGCATTCTAGAAATGAACCAGCTGATCAAAGTAGTCCAGCCTCAGTTGACCATTCAACACATGCAGTTAAAAATCCCGGTCACTTATCTGCCAGCGCAAAAGCTGGTTTCGATCTGCACTCTGCTAATCTACCTCTACTGCCTAGTCCAGTGGGTACAATTGACTACCTTCAGCATTTCCGCAAAATCAGTGCTGCGTCCAGTAAAGGAGGCTTGGAGCAGCGAGGATTCCGTAACACCGATTCTCTGCCTATGTCTGGCATCTGGAATAAATCTTATTCTTCACTAAATTGTGACCCCATGGAATTTGCCAACTCGGAGACAGTTCAAACGAAAACCGTTGAATTTACATTTCCCAGCTCCCGTTGTAGACAAAAAGAAAATGAAAACCAGTCTGAGAAAGGCTGTGATATCAAACCAACAATAAGCGTAAAGGCACTGGGTGTTCGATGTCCCGTTGCCAGGAACATTCATTCCCTGGAATGCTGCCATTGTCGCTTTAAGACCACGCACTCCAGTTCAGATAGTTCGTTTAGTTCCGTTGCAGACACAGGTCGATATACACAGCATGAAGTTACACGTGTTAAAGTAGATTCGGTTGCAGGCTGCTCTCGCGCGATTTCTGCCTCATCCTACTCATCTAGACGAATACGATCTCAGTGGACTAATCTTGAACGTCCTGTTCACAACACTTATGCTGAAATGACACCTAAGAGCAGGAGCCGATCACTGCAGAGCTCGAAAAACATGCTTTGTCGGAGGCCTAATCACAAACTATGTTGAACCAAATGGGCAACGTCTGACAGCGAACCATGTAAGCAAAACTTATGGGATTGATACGCAAACCTTCTCAGTACCCGTACTTAGTTCTGAGACAGCTCTGGTCCTAAATGCTTGGTGGCAAATGCACTCTACGTGAAATGTGAACGTCAATATCTAGTAGGTTGATAGAAATGAGCAGAACGTTCGTCTCGCCCTTCAGGTTTGTCAGAAGATTCAACGCTATTGCTCGAAGAGACAAAAATTGTTTCACACTGATTATTTTCTACAAGGTATGCCAGTTTTTGTTCGTTTTTTGTCCCGAATTCATTTAAGCCGCCCTGCATGGAATGTGGCCAATGAATGACCGATGCTTTACCTCGTCACATAAGTTTTGCACTTTTAAATTGTTTCTTTAAAACTGCTATAAGTTTCCACATTTGGTGTTTTGCACTGTTGTGTGAACTGTGAACTCCATTCTATCGATTCAATCACTTACTCACATCGTTAACTTGGAACTCATCAGATTTCCAACTAGGGATCTGTTTTACTTTGCCTGAGAAAAAGCTAACTTCATGTCAAAAACTACACAACTGAGCGTGCTAACGAAACAAGTTCGAGAAGCGTATGTACATGTGTCCAGTAGGCCGTATACTATGTAGCGGTATAAGATGGACGGCACATTAAGATCGTTGATAAGTATCGAGAAGAACAGCAGACAGTCTGTGTGAACTTTGTTTCACACAACATGTGGTATTGTAGTTAGTCAGGTCGTGAAATCTGATTGGACGACTGCACAAGGTGTCAGTGAATGGTTGGTGATCTTGCAGAAGTGACCATACATTTGCTTTTTGGTCTCGGTCGTTTCATCCTCAAAGCCTCGAAAGGCCAACAGCACATTCGTGGTGGCGATATTAAACGTGGAGGAGATTTGAACCTGGTGGCTACAACAGGGTGGGCGTTCTGACCTAGAAGGAGCGACAGTTCGGTCAAAGTGGAATATCTGTGTTGATCGAAAGTTTCAACTTGTATTTTCAAATATACTTCTCTATCCAGGTTTCAGGGACCTTTCAGTTCTCCTTATCTAAGGGTCATCGCAATTGCAGGTGAAAGAGTAAATGCAGGTTGACGTCTAGAGTAACTGTTGTTTCTTTGATCGGCACCAGTGTTAAATTCCTCGTTTTCCGTTAGAACCGTAGCTGTGCAGCATTGTACGTTGTTTTGAGTGCCGTGTTCATAGAATAGCAGATGAGCAAGCATACGCCACTCTGCAATTAAGGTCACTTCCACCCGACGGTAAGTTCTGTGCTACAACGCGAAGCTTTTCAGATGGCCGTCTTCCCTCGTGTCGCCAGGTTAACCCGCAGTTTTTGATTAAATGTGTGGGACGATTCGATTTGTTCGGCACCGCGAATAACGATAAAAGCTGTGGTATTGTCCCATTCAAGAAGACTTACGATACACCGAACTGCTTATCGTCCCATCTAGTCGGCGGCTTACCAAGACCCCTGAGAATGTAAAACAGCTGTTGCCCGCGAATTCACATGATACCCAAGCGTGGCAATTCAGGCCGCCTGAATTCCACTCTCTCTATCTGATTCGTTATATCGATTTGGTAGATTAAAGCTGATCTGTCCAGTAATCGAGCAATCACAACGGATAAGGCTATGCAGTAGGCTGGCTTGCTATGTTTACCGTGGCGCACGATCATCCCGTCGTTCTCAGGGGCTGCTGGATTTACTGTGCTTTGGACGTGTTGTTTCAAGCATTATCCGTGCACGCATGTGTCGCACTATTATTTTACACAGAGCCCTTTAAAGTTCAAAGTAACTTTCAGCTTCCTCTTAATTTGTGCTGTTTATGTTCAACGGCCGAGTGGTTCACACAAGGCATTAATTCTTGGAACTGGTTGGTTATTTGAATAAAAAAACATGTAAGAAAATATTTTTTACAATGTAAAAATATTAGCATCTCGTAGTTCTAAGCTCCCGATGATTGGTGGAGTGAGGCTCTGCTGCCGAAAAGGAATACGATCACAGCTAGCCGGATGGTTCTTGCCTCCAGTTCATTCATACACTTTTCTGTTTAGTTGTCTGAATCGAAGCGGACAGTAGGCTTCCGTCGGTTGGACATGTATCTTTTAACCGAATGACGGCTTCTACTTATCCAGCAGAATTGTTTGCTCAGGTTCACACGAAACTACAGCTTGTTCAAGTCAACTTGTAAGAAGCCTAACACAAGTCGTTTGTCGTTTGTCTCCCGGAAAAGGAGAATCATCACATCTACAGCAGTAGGTCACTCCATATGTTTCTACGAGTTTGTCCCACCAGGGAAAAAGAAACCAACAAAAACAAACAGATGAGAGCATCTAATGCACTAACAGATCACACCTTAGGGGAGAAAAAGAACGCCTCCCAAATTTCGTTCACTTTGGCCAATAAATAAAGGAAGGAGGATGAATAATCAGCATATAAATAATAAACATATATATTTGTCCTAATCTAAACCACTGGCAAAGGCTAGAAAACGATCTTAGTTGGTTCCAGCCTGTTGAGTTCCGGCTGATAGCCGCTGTATAGGTTCCGGTGGACTGGCTAGAGATAAGATTATTCCTCGAGTCGAAAGGGCCAAGGCTAACCCCCGAAACCTATGGCGCCCACGTGACGTGAGTTTGTCTGTCAAGGACAGGCTTTACAATGCGGTGGTACGATCCATACTGCTTTACGGGTCAGAGGCGTGGCCTCTATGTGCAGAGAACATACAAAAGGTATCAGTGTTTGACCATCGATGTGTCCGAAGCATGGGTTTAGTGGGCACATCAGGATTAGTAATGCTAAAATACAATAGATGGTCCTAGAGAGGAGGGACTCTTCCGCAATAGATGAAAGAAAACGATTTAATTGGTTCCAGCCTGTTGAGTTCCGGCTGATAGCCACTGTATAGGTTCCGGTGGACTGGCTAGAGATAAGATTATTCCTCGAGTCGAAAGGGCCAAGGCTAACCCCCGAAACCTATGGCGCCCACGTGACGTGAGTTTGTCTGTCAAGGACAGGCTTTACAATGCGGTGGTACGATCCATACTGCTTTACGGGTCAGAGGCGTGGCCTCTGTGTGCAGAGAACATACAAAAGGTATCAGTGTTTGACCATCGATGTGTCCGAAGCATGGGTTTAGTGGGCACATCAGAATTAGTAATGCTAAAATACAATAGATGGTCCTAGAGAGGAGGGACTCTTCCGCAATAGATGAATTACTCACGCTTCATAGGTTACACTGGTTAGAACGTGCACTCCTTATGTCGGAAGACCATCTGCCTCACAGAACTCTTTTCTCTCAGCCCTGTGCTGAGTGGAAGTGACCGAGAGGTGGACCGGGCAACGAACTATGAAAACACTAACCAGTTAATTTAGTCGGGTGGGCAACTGTCACCTCCTTGGATGAGAACCCAGAGACTCAAATCACCAGTGGTTATTGACGTTGGCAAAAGTGGCCCAATCGCGCAATCACTGGCACACGTGCATAAAAGCTATCGCCTTCAATGCGTATCTACCCAGTTCCCGAATTAACTAAATATGCCATCGCCCCCAAGGCTCGGATGTATGTTCCGCACTCTCCTACTTTACGGTGATCGAAACTGTTTCAGCTGGAACCATTCCATAGCTGAAAGATAGCTATTTTTTCTTTTATCCTTGACGCGTGATCTATGGTTAAGAAAGATTTAGTAGCTAGTTGGTATTGGTATTCTTAATCACCAGCTTCAGTTACATGATCTTTTCTAAGCTTCGAACTCTCAGTCTTCCTGACACAAAAGAAAGTTATTCGGAGTAACCCAAAACATTTGAATAGATGTTTGAAGACAACGGGTTTAAAGGATCCAAGATTCAGAGTAATTAAACAAGCTTGTGCCAGTGATTTTGATGAGCACAAAACCGAGTGACTTCAAAAGGTTCAGCCTTAAGCTGATTTAACCAGTTGATTCTGATACACTCTCTCACGTTAATGGTGATCAGTCTCTTATTTTGCTGATTTTCAGGGAGGGCGAGATAACCTAATTTGTCCTCCTGCACGGTCATCTTCGATTTGATCACCTGCTCGGTGATCTTCGATTTGATCACTAGCGGAACAAAGACCTAGTTTCTCGTTGCAATTTTTCAAAATCCTTGATACTGGGGGGATAGATTTTAGGAAACAAATGTGTTGAGCCTCTTTTTCGTCTCGCAAGTCATACTACTCCCTCGAAAGACCTCGTCGCAGGCAAGCTCACCAACGGTGTCATGTGTACTTCAGAAAAAACTGAAAGCTTACTCATTCATACCAACTGAAGGCTACTGAGGGCCAGTCATTATCGAAACATGTGATGCCAGACGGTACTGATCTCTCACCCATCCTGGAAGCCCCTGCAGAATTATGTTTTTCATAGACCTTTTGGAGACACAGTTTGAATATCAGTTTGCGAATTACAAATACTGCGGCCTTTTAAAAAAGTTGAGCCTTAGTAAACTCATCTTCCATTACCGCTTCTTTTTTGCTTGGTGATGTGCCAATCTGGTCAAAACCTGAGTCAGTCACACTATGTGGTCACCGCTACCTGCTCTTACAATGCCCCCACCCTAGCAGGCCCTTTCACCATACTGACCGAAATTTCCGCTTTCCAAACATACTTCTGCGGAATTCGGCGCAGCTACACGTTTCCAATGACACAGTTCTTGGCAAATTAGCAATAAGATGGGTATACCTTCTAGGGAACATGAATTGTCTCATTGTGACAGCTTGTTTCCGCGGTACCAGGTCGGACGACACGGGTCTTCTCACATTGCTGCGACAAGGTAAGACCCATTCAGACACTGACATACCGTTAGTGTAGGACAATAAGGTTATGCTTACAAACGCACGTGTCTATAGATATGGAATGATAAAGTAATGGGTTATTAAACGCACCGACTAATAGTTATTCGTAAAGGAAATGTATTAGTGCACTGCTGAGGATGACCACAATACAAATCAGAAGGTATATGCACTAATAA